AATCAAAATTAAATAACAATAAATCAAATTTATAGTTAGAAACTTGAAATTAGCTAATTAAAATCTAAATATCCAACAACACAAATAAATTAAACAAAGAAGATGACTTAAATTTAGAATTTTAGATGGTTAAATCAAATTTGTCCCCAATTCCCGATTAAAATGTTGATTTGTGGTTGGGTTGTGTGGATTGTGGGCTTTTAAAATGAAAAATGAACTTAATTTATCAGTTATCTAGTCAAAACTCACTAACCCAAGATGAGAAGCCCAAAAGGAAATAGACTAAAAGTCCAGTTGCCAAACAGAAGGTAAAATCGAGATTTTACATGATTTCACCTGATTTCACGATAAAATCTAAAATCCTCAAATTTTATGAATTTCAGATTTTAATATAGATTTTACACGAAATGTCTTGTTGAAATCGTAAAATTGTAAGATTTTAAGATTTAAATCTAGATTTTGACAACAATGATCCCAACAAATAGATTCGTCAACTAATGTTTTAGACACCCATATCAAGAGGGTAGTTTTAAATGTCCCCATAAGCTCAGCTCTATGATATGTCTGTTTCAATGATTTAAATATATAGTTGGTATTTGAAGACTGTTTTACTGACACGTGTGATCTTATATATATATATATATATATATATCTTATAATGAAGTTTGGTTATAGTTAATCACATCAAATGAGGCCCTGTCAAGTAAAAATATTAGTTACAGTATAGGTATTGTCATGTTAGATTGTAAGACTATAACGTGATGTAAAGTTGTGGTGAGTCATTTTTTTGTTTGTAAGTGTAAAATTTTTAATAAATTTGGTTTGAGAAATAGAAGAAATGCAAATTTTTATCTTTGGTTAATAAAAAATTTGAGGAGATAAGGGTCTTTTACTTTAATTTTTCAAATGAGAGAAGGAAAAGGGAATGGAATGAAGGGAAACAGAAAGACATTATATCTTTTCATTTCCCTCCTCTCACCATCCCTCCATTTCTTTCAAATTAAACATATCATATAAGATAATTACTCTTAGATTGAAAAAGTAATTTTGAATTAAGGTGGGTTTTAAAAATGTTTAAAAGTGAGTATGAATACTTAAATTATTATAAATAAACACCTAGTGAATCCAAATTTTAGGACAAGGGTAAGTTTGGAATCACAAAGTATTTATTAGAGATAATTTAAGTTGAACTTGAAACACATCTTAATTTGAACTTATTATTTTAAGAAAAATAATTTAGAGATAATTTTTTTATATCATATTTTTATATTACCTTACGTATCATTTAAATAATTTGTATTTTTATTCATTTAAGATTCAAGATATTGAATATATCGACATATTTAATGACATATAAAAATTCTATAAAAAAAATACAAAAATGTTGTGTCTATATCACCACCTAAAATGAGTAAGAAATAGAGTACCACATATCCTCTAAGTTATATAATCTTTTTTTTTCTTTTCTTTTTTTTTGGGTTTCAGTTGAAAGGAAAGAATTAAAGTAGCAAAACTAATAACCGAAAATGTAGCAGTAGCAGGCCATTTGCATCATAACTAATTTCATGGTCCTAATTTTAATCCTGAAAATAGTAATATTCTCAAATTCCTTTATGGAAGTGGAAACTTGTATTGTCAACCATTTTATGGAGAGGTGTTGTATTTCTATAAGGATAGGCCTGAGGTTCTTAATCTCGGATATACTGTGACGTTTCGTTAATAACCGAAGTGAAGGTTAAATCCAGCACTTCTCGGTCAAACAACTCTATGACAAGTACAGTGAACATGTCCGCACCTGATTTCCCAGTCCTGAGATCATCAACTGAAGGGATAGGTCAGACTTCGATTATCTTGTTAAGCAAGCCACGTGAATACCTCATTAAGACCTATAAATACCCCCAAAGACGACCTGAAAAAGGTAATTGAAACTGATTTAAAGCTCCTTTTTTCATTATTATAAAGGTAAATCTGATTATTGATGACTTAAGTATCGAAGTGTCTACCCTGAGAATCTACTTTGAAGCTTTGCAAGTCTATCTGAAGTAAAGGCACAAACTGAATAAGAACTTTTGATTTGGTGCAATTACAATTTCACTTCTTGTCATCTCATTGATTGAAGCTTCATCACCCATTTAAGAGGTTCAAATATGTTCAACTTCCCTGTTATTCCCATGCATCTTGAATTGCTTATCTTATACTACTACTATACAGAGAAAAGGGCCGGGTTGGATGCCAAATCGAGTTTTTGAACTTTTAATTTTAAATAATTTTAGTTCATGAATTTTTTTTTTTTTTTGTACTTTTTCATCATTCAATTATAAAAGAATTTTTTTTTTGTCAAATTTATCCATAAGTTTATTTAGTTAGTATTTTTTTTAATTTTTATTAATGATCTAAATATGCATAAAATAAAAATTTAAGAACTAAAATTTACAAAAATATTAGTTTAGAAATAAAAAATTTATATAAAACAAAAACTTAGGACACAGAAAGTATCAGTTATATGGACATAATATACAAAAGTGATAAAAAAAATTAAAATATATAATTTTTTTCTACTTACGGAACAAAAAATAAAATAATAATTTAGTGACTAAAATTATTAAAAATTAAAAATTCATTAATTAAATCGGACATTTAACCATATATAAAAAAATGAACGGCTTACGTTGCAAAGTCTTCTCCACAGATCGACTACCGTGTGCGTCGTGCAATAATACAATATTGTGATAACTGATAAGGGCAGATTCCTTTATTTTTTTTTAACGGTGAAAGTTGTTTTTAAGTTAATTTAGATACACTTCAAAATTAATATTTTAGACATATTATCTATACTAAAATTAAAAATATATATATAAAATTATCTTTTTATTAATGTTTTTAAATTTTAAATTTTGATTCATAAGATAAGAGTAAACTTTCTTACAACTAACTAATTAGATCATAACTTTTTAAATATAAGGACAAAAAAATAATTTGAAAATAATTTATTTGTACTACTTTTTGGATAACTTTATATATTGTTGAAATGATTGACTCTTTTTATTTATTTAAAATTCATAATATAAACTATATCTATTTATTTAATAACATATAAAAATAATATAAAATGTGATATAAAAAAATTATTTTTATATCATTGCTCAAAAAAATTTTATACTCTCTATCAAACTTTAATTCATCTAATTTTTTATTTAATAAAATAAAAATAGTTAATTATTAAAATTTTATATTTATAATTAATTAATTAAAATATATATATTATAAATAAAAATTATACAAAACAATTATTTGAATATTATTATTAATTTTAAACGTCTAAAATTAAAATTCAGTCAAATAAAAGTTGAACACAGATAATATTAAAGATTTAAAGTTAATCTATCACGCGCGTGCAGTCATTCATCATTTTTTTGACCCATACATACATGTTTAATTCCCCACCTTAGCCATAAATATTAAGGACCCTGATCATAGCTTTCCCACGCACGCACGCACGCACGCACGCACACACAAGGTAACCACAAACTTCTCGTCCTCCACCGTGGTCATGGACGTTAAACAACCCAAAACCAGTTTGGGCAGAGCACTCCTGATCCTAAACTGCATCGTCTTCGCCATTGGCAACTGCGGCGGCCCACTTCTTATGCGCCTCTATTTCCTCCACGGCGGCAACCGTATCTGGTTCTCTAGCTGGCTCGAAACAGGCGGCTGGCCCATCATTCTCGTCCCACTCATCGTCGCCTACTTCCGCCGTCTCAAAACGGACCCCACATCCAGCAGAAAGTTTTTTCTCATGAAACCTCGCCTATTTGTGGCATCCGCTGTAATAGGAGTCTTCACAGGTAGGAATTAAGGTTTAATTAAGTTACAAAATTAGTCTTTAAACAGAATTATTTAAGAAAAATTCTGGATCTATCCCAACTTGCAGGCTTAGACAATTATCTCTACGCATATGGAGTGGCACGTCTTCCCGTCTCTACCTCTTCTCTAATCATTGCATCCCAGCTGGCTTTCACCGCCGGTTTTGCTTTTCTCTTGGTGAAGCAGAAGTTCACTGCATATTCAATAAACTCAGTGTTTCTTTTGACATTAGGGGCGGGGGTTTTGGCTCTGCATACAAGTGGGGATCGACCAAGTGGTGAATCGAGCAAAGAGTATGTTCTAGGTTTCATTATGACGCTGGGAGCTGCTCTGTTATATGGATTTATTCTTCCATTGATAGAATTGATGTACAAGAAAGCAAAGCAAGAGATCAATTACACTCTTGTTTTGGAGATTCAGATAGTGATGAGCGTTTTTGCTACGGCCTTTTGCACCGTCGGTATGATAATTAACAATGATTTCAAGGTCGGTATCCCTCACCTCCCTCTCTGACTTAATTATATTCCATAGTCTTCTTGTTTCTTTATTTGGCAAAGAGTATACATACCAATAGCAAAGGCAATTTATTCTTTCTTCTTCTTTCTCTCTTTTCATTTTTCTTTTTTTTTTTTTTTATGAGAATATAGAGGATAATTTCAAATTAAATTCACTACATATTTGGGTTAAGAGGAAAAAGAGAGAAAGCAAGAAAAGGAAATTTTACCCCTTTATTTCTTTCTCCACCCTTCTCTTCCTTTTATTTAAGTAAATTAATAAATTTAAAAAATAAAAGAAATTTCCCTTTTTTCTTTTTTTTTTTGATAATTAAATAAAAAAATATTTTACTCTTTCTTTTCCTCTTCATTTCTTTCCATCAAAATATATGATTAAAGATACCACACGTTTAATTTTTTTACTTTTTTAGAGATAAACTTAACATTTAACTATTAAATTTATTAATTTTGTCGTCGCTTGGGTATATATGAAAAAGTTTTTTTTATAAAAAAGATAATTAAATTAAATATTATTGTGTTATTATTAAAAAAATCAAATTTTAAAATTAAATATATTTCACTTACTATCTAATGTGCAACGTAACTATCACTTAACCACACAAAGATTTCAGTACGAAAAAGTTTATTTTCTCTCAAACGTGGTTCGTTTTCACAATAGTAGTTCATGTTAGCCGCCAAGTGTAAAAAAAAGAAAAAGTGTGACCGTGTATTCACCACATTGCCCATAAAACTTAATTACATTTGTCCTTAAGCGACTTTATATCTCTGACAACTTAACTTTTTTAAGTCCTATCTTTAAATCTGGTAAAAATCTATTTTATCCATTAATTTGATTCTAACTCAACTAATAAAAGTAAGTTAAGATTTATATATTTTGATATGTAATTCATAGATAATTGAAATTATCGATTTATACAGATTACGAGTTGGGTTATAGTCAACTCCTGGATTAATAAATTGATCCGTTTATTTTATTTTTTATTATTATTTTTAAATATTATATATATTATTTTTAATTAATTTTTTTATTGATAACTTCTATTAATTCGTAACTTCTTCATTTCTAAAGAAAAACAAAGAAATTATAATGAATTTGACCTAATTATCCAAGTATAATTTTTTTTTTTTTGTATTAATAATTACCAAAGTATCATGAATAAAATAATAATGTAACTAAAAATATTAAAAGATATGATATTAGAATATAAACATAATAACTTAGTGAAAGATGTTCTTAAAATAGCAATTTATCACTAAAAAAATGGCTTAAACTACTTGATAATGTTTCAAGATAATTATAGAATTAAAACTTTATTTTCTAAGAAATTTAAATATTTTACGTTTAATATTATTATTATCAATCAACTTATTATTATTTATAACTTTATGATTTTTTTCTTAATTTAATTGTTTGTGGTTGAGACAATAAACTACTTAGTTTTAATGAATCACAATATTTTAATTAGATTTAAATATATATTTTTTTTATTTATATATAATAAAATTAATAAAAAAATAATTATAAAAAATAAAAATAAAGTTAACCAGTGAATTAACTTGTAACCTGTTAGGATTGGATTAAAATTAAACTTTTTCAACCCATAATTCATTTATGACTCAACTTGTATAACTCATCATCCGAATTGATCCAACCCAACCCAACCCAACATAACATGTCCGTTTACCATAGCTACCTATCTTGTTGATCTACAATGCTCTTTAATCTTTTTTATTATCTTTTTTATATCATTGAATATAATTTTCTTGGACTACATGACATTCACGAGCACGCAGTCATATAGGTGCTGACGCGTGGAATTACGTTACAAAAATTTATGAAACTTTGACAAACCAGATTAGTGCACTATTTAGAGTTTTTAGACCAGTTTAAAAGAAAATTAAACTTTTTAGATCAAAGTGATAACTGGTAAATAG